TCTGTTGGATATAAATATAATACAATATATAATAAAAAATATAATATAATAAATATAACATAACAATTATTTTGAGAAACTGAAGCCAGGTAGGTAACACACCTCATTTTTGATGTTCCTCATGAACGTTTCAAAAAGTTTCGACTCGTACTTGACGACATGATGAGGGAACAACTCGGACACGGCGCCCAACACTTCATATATGTAACAACGGACTTTGAGGGAGAAATGTATAAAAAACTATTACCACAAGATTTTATACGACTGTAAAGTGAAATAAGTTGAAATAACAAATGGTGACAAATTACGTTACAAAAATGATGATGGCGAAAAATGTACAATAAAAAAAACAACTAAAAAAATGGATGGAAATTCATTCATAAAGTTTTAAGAAGTTAGAGAAAAAATGATAAGCAACCAGTAGAGGAGAGTTTAGATGGAGGTTTCATGCTTTCCTCCAGTAACCTTTTGACTGCATCCTCAAGGTCAATGTCACTGGACAATGGGCACACTCTGATTGCCTTAATTTTTTGATTACAATTTTATAAGTCTGAGAAAATTAAATTAAATGAAAATAAAATCAAATTTTAAGATATAAAATAAGGTTGAAAGCAAAGTTCAATTGAAAATTTACACTTGGAAAACAACAACCACAACAGCTACAAATTTAATAATGTTTGATTGTAGTGTGCTTCTGTTTCAACAGTGCATAGCAAGTGATAAGTGCAAGTGGTAGCAACTCAAATTTGTGCAATATTTTGAGAATGAGGCAAAACTAGGGGTGAGAAAAAAACCATCATGTATTGAATTGTTTAAAATGCTCACCGAACAGAGCAGCTTCAATGATAAACCCTTCATCCTGGCAGCCTGTTCTTTAAAATATGTTGCAATGCACACATCCTGCAATGAGAATATCATGAGAGACATTAAAGATAGGAGCTTCTTAAAAATGAATCAGGGATGAGACCTTCAATGTGACACAGTGATCAGAGCAAGCGGACGAGGCCTTGCCAATTAATTCAATCAAAAACTCCAAGATGCTTCTCCTTGCACTATCAAACTGATGATCAAATGTTGAAAGGAACCTCTTATTATTCATAATTCAAAATTATTAACATGAGACAACAGTAGATAGAAGTCGTATAAATTTTCAAAAATTAATTTTAACATTTCTTCAAGGTACAACAGACAATTATGAGAGTCAGAAAAAAAAAGATTTTTTGTTTTAACCTCTCCAGATAAATTGCACAGGACCTTCAAAACCTTTAGTAAGCCGTTTCTATCATTGAAAACAGTAGCAACAACCCATTCTGAAATTAATAATTAAAAAATGATTGCGGAAGACCATTACAATTACTATTACCCTTCCATATCCCACACCATCTCTATATAGATAGAGATATGCTGTATAATATAATAATAATATACCAGTGTCCCAACAATGTGACAGGAGAGTGAAGGCTAACTCGGTATTGTGTATAGGATGTCAGAAATGGGTGCATAAGAGATGTAGTGGTGTGAGGGGGACACTGAAAAAGGTGGAAGGCATGCAAGAAATGTGTTCATGGTGTGATTAATGGGACGGACGCAAGGACAGGGTTGAGTGGTGGTAATGAAAGAGTGGAAAGCTTTGTTTACTTAGGGGATAAGCTGAACGCGGATGGAGGATGTTTGAGTGCAGTTACGGCTAGAGTTCGTGTGGGATGGATGAAATTTAGGGAACTGGGTGGGGTATTGTGTGGAAAGAAATGGTCAGTGAAGATGAAAGGGAGGGTATATAAAGCATGTGTGAGAGCAGCGATGGTATATGGTGGTGAAACTTGGGTGTTGAGGAGAGAGGAAGAAAGTGTACTGCAGAGGGCTGAAAGAGCTATGGTGAGGATGATGTGTGGGGTTAAAGTGAAGAATAGGAGGAGTAGTACAGAGCTGATGTCGAGATGGGACTGAATGAGGACATTGTGACATTGATAAGGAAATCAAGATTGCAGTGGTATGGACATGTGTTGAGAACGGATGAAAGGGTCGGGATTAGGCGAGCGTTGGAGTTCGAGGTTGAAGGAGTGGTAGGAAGGGGTCGTCCGCGATTGGGATGGAGAGAGCAGGTGGAGAAGGACAGGGTGAAAGCGGGGTTGTGTGATACTGAGGCGAGTGACAGATGTGGATGGCGTCGAGGGGTATTTTGGTTTCATCATAGGTAGCCAAACGGCAACCTCTGATCCCGGGGAAAATGTCGTCTAAACGTGTGTTGTTATACCAGTGTCCCAGCTCTGTAAACTACATTATATATCCCATTTATTTTTCAACACAACCCTGCAAAACTCTAGTAGATATAATATATAATTAGACATTACAATGAATATGAATATATGCAGATTGTAGTTTGAAAAAAAAATTCTACCATAAATCTAAACAAACCCACCACAGCCAGAAAAAATAATCTAGATTTAAGGCCAAATGCCTGGTTAGATTTACTTAAATTTAACTAACATTAAGAAAGCACACAAACACGTTTTTCTTTCTATTTTAATCTAGCTAGCTAGAACGGACCATAGTTGGAGGTTGGAAAAATAAAAAAAATAGATTTTTTTAAAAACAAAACTATCAAAAATTGGGCTGATAAATAATAATTAACCAGTATCTTTTGGAGACAAACTGGTCAAACAAGTTGAACAAATCAAATCTAAAATTTCATTAACTGAATTTAAGTTTGTGCTTCCAGAAATCTGCAAAATACTTTCAAGCGAGTTAAACAACTCTTGCAAAGTAGCCGCCATTAGATCATTTGGAAATTCCCAGAAACCGATTTCAACAGGGTGCGTTCATTTATGTAGAATTTATGTTCATTTATGTTCCTATTAAATGCCTTTTCTCTCTCTCTCTCTCTCTCTCTCTATATATATATATATATATATATATATATATATATATATACATACATATATATACATATATATATATATATTATATAAAGGTGGCATACAGTCGCTAACGGGTAATTAGCAAATTATAATGAAGGTAATAGAGGTAATTGGCGTATTACTATTTGTACTTATCGTTTGTTTTCGCTTTCTTAAATTAATGTTTCGTTTAAATTTAAAATTTAGAAATTGTGTTATTAACCTATGTTATGTTTGAATTTGAAATAAGCAAAGGGAATTTTGTTAACCAATTTGTTAAGGTTTTTAATAATTTATTATCAACGATTACAGAGTGTTAACAAGATGAGATTCTTACGCAACGAAATTTTATTTGTTGCACTATCCAATCTATATAATTTAAACTAAAGAGAATGAGAGCAATCAACTCTACCAATCAAACTGCTAATTGGTTGAATGGCATGCTGTGCTTTCTAGTGCTGCCTATTCAGTTTGTTCAATAAATTGTTGATACTTCACCATTATGTTATATTTGGATTTTTTAAAGGAGAAGACCGCCGGACAAAAGACCGCCGGACAAAAGACCGCCGGACAAAAGACCGCCAGACAATAAGGTAGTTATAAAGTAGAAAAGCTAAAAATGTCGCCATTACTCTAAGGTTTTAAATTCTATGTACATACTGAACTAAATTTGATAACACGATAAATAAAACGATGTTCTAAGGAATAATGTTTAAATTTTCAAAATTATCAGGTTTACAATAAAAATAAGTGATCCCCGGTTTGTACAAAATTTACAAGAAAATTTTTACATGAAAATATGATAGGTTCCATAACTTCTGAACATTGAAATTCAAGCTATGTGCAATAACACGTAAATTATCAATATTATTAATCATGGCATTGTTGCCATACAGCTGCCGCGATTCTGATCGAAACATCTCTGTAAATTTTTTTGCTGGCGGGTGGTTGTCGACCTTGTTCGATAGCTACCTGATTGAACTTCTGCTCAGATCCCGAGCTATCAATTAATTTCCATATAGTTGGATAATGTGCTCCAACTATTTCATTGAATCGGCGATGCCAACCTTCCACTGCGTTGTTCACGCCAGGTAGATTCTCAGCAGCTGCATCGAAAAAATTTGTTATCCTTTAAACAGTGGTGCATGGATTGATTGTTCAGAGCGAGTAATAAAGTCATAGGTCAGTAATAAAATGCAATGATTTTTTATGGGTCGATTATTATTATATTTATATTATATTATTATTACTATCGATTATTATATATGCTTATGCAGTCTTATTGCTTTGCGACCTTATATGAATAAATTTTTTTTTCATTTTCAAAGTTTACTCATAATCAACAACATATCAAATAAGTGAATAAAAGTTATGAAGTTGAATATGCGGAGATCGAATAAGACTGTATGCCTTGTGGTGAATGAAAGAATAAATGTGTTTGCCAGGCATTGTTTATGAAAATTTCAACATCGAACTTATATAAATTCTTTATAAATTCAGGCAAGTTAAAAGTAACAAATTAAAATGTTTCATCGATTATTATTGACGGCGTCCGTCAAATTTTACAAATGTATTTAAATGATATAACATTGAGTGCATTTGTCTTTCTTTGTCTGGTTGACAAATTTTCGAATTGTTTGAGCGAAGACAATTTTGATTAAAAACATAAATACATTAGCGGCTTAACGCCACATAGTTAAAGTACTTAACGCTAATCATTTAATTTCTTGTAAAGTATTTGTAAAAATGTTTTAGTTTAATAGGAATTGTTAATTAGTACGTAAGACATAATATTCCAGTTTCATTAGCCAAAGTTTAAGAAATATTTTTATCAAAAATGTGATGTATATAATATAAAAACGTGGCAACGACGAGCTCATATTTAAAATAATGTATGCGTTATTGAATCACCCACCCATATTATGCATTTGGGAAAATCATTTGCATAATTGGTTCAGGATTATTTGCATAATGGGTTCTGTTTCCCAAGAACAACTAAGAAATTCAATTATAGAATTTAAGACAAACACGGTAACGTGGAAAATATAAAAGCATATAAATGCCGTAGTGGAGAAATTTGAAAGAAATTGGTAAAATAACAAAATGTCCGCTTTCAGAAAAATCATCTCAATTCTAGTTGTCTGTAGTGTTTTTACATCAGCTGTCAAAGGTAAAAATTGAATGAATATTTTTTAACTATTATTTTTTCATAATATCATAAAATATTGATTTTTTTATTTTTAACCTTTTCAGCTTACTGGTTTTTCTACGAAAAACAGGCCAGTCCGGACGAAGACGTTGGTGATGTCAATGATGATTCCAATGAAAATTCCAAGGAAGATTCCAACGATGAAGATTCCAACGATGAAGATTCCGACGATGAAGATTCCGACGACGAAGATTCCGACGATGAAGATTCCAACGATGAAGATTTCGACGACGAAGATTCCGACGACGAAGATTTCGAGAACGAAGATTTCGAGGACGAAGATTCCGACGATGCTTCAGGTAATAAATTTAACAGAAATTCGAAAAAACTTAACATTGGTAGAACCAGAAAGTATTTAAATGTAGGTTTCATTAGAAAATCCGATGAAAGTTCCGATGAAAAATTTGACTACAATTCTGGGACACACCTCAGAAAATATATCACAAAACGTTCCAGAGCAGGTTCCAACAAACCTTTAAAAGAAAATTCCAATTAAATTTTTGAAAAAATTTAGGTGAACACGTCAACGAAGGTGCTTGTAGCGATAGTTCTAAAGAAAGCACCGAATATATTTCGGATGTAAATCCTAATGAAAAATTGTAACGTCCTTCTGACATGCGCTAGGATGAATATTCCAATAAAAATTCAAATAATATTTTTGCTGAGAAAAATATAAAAAATTCTGATGGCGACGATGATGATAGAAAAAAATTCTATTACAATTTTTTTAGGTTCGGAAGAATCAACAGCACACAAACATCGTATACGAATACATGCTAAACGATGCTTCACACACGAAGCACGTGATAGGCGGAAATGTTTTTGACATTTTTGAACCCGGTAACTGCACGCACTGCTAACCAGCACCAGGCGGCCTTAATCGCTAAGCCATCACCCCTCCAAAATCATGGCGATTATTCCGAAGGTAATGATGATGACAATTGGGATTTTGTTGTAGGGCGAGGTTCTAACGGAGTATAATTGACGGTTTTTTATTCGTATTTAGTAAGGTATGGCTTTTAGTAAGGTCCCGTTTGTCAATAACCTGGATTCAGAGTAAATTGTTTTTTCACCTATCATAACCTTATTGTTTTTTTTCAAGCGTATGCATTTTGTACATATGCCTTTAAGATCTATGTATGTCTAGAAATTTGAAAAGCATCGCTGAACATGGTTAAATTAAGATGGTGCTATTTCTTTTCAGCTTTAACTATAATGCTAAACTGTAACTTCACCTAATGCTAAACAGTAACTTCACTTATGTTTCCTTCCCAATAGTGTTCTTCATAATCTATCTTATGTCTTTCTTCAATTACCGCTTGGTCTGGCTTTCTGTGTCTTAAAATTAATTCTTCTAAATTTGAATTAATCTGTTTTAATAAATCTAAACACTCTATTACTATTCCTTCTGTTATCTTACCTGATCCTAAAACTCTTGATATTTTTCACAATTTCGTAGTCTAGTCTTAATCTTTGATTCTAGATCGTCTCCTCTTTTTTCTCAGATTAATAGTGTTGCTAGAAGTTTTTACTTTTATCTAGGTAGAATAAAAAAACTTTTGCCTTTTCTTGACGATCCTACTCTTCTCTTTCTTGTTACTTCGTTAGTCTTATCTAGGATTGATTATTGTAACTCGCTCTACTATGGTCTTCCTGATTCTACATTCTATCCATAAAGTAAAGCTTTTAACTCTGCTGCTCGTCTAGTTGCTCGTGCCCCTTTCTTTTCTTTTCTCATATATCTCCATATCTTGTTCTCTTGCACTGGCTACCTATAAAATATAGAATAATTTTTAAAATTTGCACGTTCATGTATAAGTCTCAATCTAAATTATTTCTTAAGTACTTATCAGATATATTAATTGAACATAAACGCCCAGGTCTACGATCATCTTCTTGTTCTCACTTCTTCTAAACTCGTGTTAAACACTCTTTTGCTAAATCTGCATTTGCTTTTTCTAGCCCTTTTTTCTGGAACTTTCTACCTCCTTCTCTGACTACTTCTCCATCACTTGCAAAGTTCAGAGCGGATCTCAAGACCCATCTGTTTGCAATATTCATTGAGGAACGCTGTTGAACATCGCGGAAATAGCGCCTTATAAACTAATTGATCGATTTATTTATTAATTGATTCTCAAATCAACTTCACAAAAACGATTACAATTCTATGGTAACAACATCATATTTAAAATTATTTTTATATTTCCAAAATCGATAACCATTGCAGCATTAACACGATATTTTTTAAATTAATGTTAGCATCATCAACCACAGTTATTGTTTTATTTTGCACCATGGCATAGCGATCACGATTGCTTACTGCCATTTTTAATTTTCAAACAGCAAAAAAGTGCCCGAACGGATTTAGAAACATCTTGAATAAATGTGTGAAAGTCGTCACAGAACGTCAAACAGGCAATAAGGCATTTGAAACATGCAAACAACTAGGAGCTAACTTGGCTATTCTAAATTCAAAAACCTATTTTGACAAACTGACCAAGTACTTGATGGACAACTTCCGAGGTTATGATAATGATTATCATTTAATTATTCAAACACAATCTGTAGTGATTTGTTACATTAAATGATTTAATTTATTTTCTAACATTAAACGTTAACTATACCTTAATTCATATCCACACAAGAAAATGTACGAAATGTTAAAAATTTTATTAATATATTATTTTTAAAATTATGTTTATTCTTATTGTAATATAACAAATGTAATAGAAAGTTGCACTAGCACCAGATCATCAGGCAGTTTCTGGACGGCAGGTCACAGACTTCACGACACCAATGTATTTGTCTGGAAACCCTCAAAACTATCAAAACATATGACTGGTCATTGCAGAAATGCTATTATAACTAAAAATTGGGCCAAAAATCAACCGGATAATACTTACAATAATGAAGATTGCGTTGAAATGTTTATAGATGGTAATGAAATGAAGTTTAACGATTTGCCATGCGCCAAAGGTCCGAACTACATTTATAAAAACTGCGCTGTCTGCCAAACAAATAAAAAATAAACGAACTATATATAGACATTCAACATATACGTTTCATTTATAATCAACTGCATAGGAAACAAATTTTCATAAATATATTAAATTGAATGATTAAATCATTGTGAAAATAATATTAGTGGCGTGGCATTTATGTTGTTTTTTTTAAACTTTGTATTTATTTTCAAAAATCATCAATTCCATGCTAATTTATTCGTTATTTTATGTTTCAAACAATTTTTAATATCTTTATATGGTGAAAATATTAGAAATTGGAATGTAAGGAATGGACAAAAACGCTTGACTTGCATTTTCCATTCCTTCAATCCCCACATTACGTATACATATCCAAATTAAGATCAAATTATTCGTTCATGTAATTAATTGCTGCTGTTTTACCTAAATTGGACTCAATCAATGTATACCACACACTTAGAATAAACATTTCCCGATCCACTTCTATCTGCTTCAGCCACGTCAGCTTTGAATTTTTCAGTGGTTGCAGCTTTGAATATCTTTCAGTGGTTGGGTTGGTCTCTCCGAAGCAGATGACATGGTAAACTATTCAACTGTTAGAGGCATCTTGACTGAAGTTTTAAGACAATTCTGGACGGAGACTAAAAAGTTATCTGAGACGTAGCGGCATAGGATCTATTAAATTTGGTGAAGTGGGCTCGGCTTACAGAGTTTTCCACAATGCCTGCCAGTGTATGCAGCCAAACGCAGACTTGATTTCTTTAAAACAAATAATTGAATGTTGGTCACATTGTATTCCTTCTTAATTCGGTTGAAAAAAAGATTTGGTCATTACATCCTCTGCTGAAGTTAGAGCCCTGCTTTTGTCCCCATCGACTAGTTTGATTTAATAATAATTTATTGTACATCTTGTAGGCCCAAACATTTCGTTCATTCAACAAGCAAATGGCTAAACTCGGAAGATTCAAAATAAAATTATAAACGAAACAAGGTCGGCATTAATGCCTTGGTTCCCGTTGTTTCTAAAGCGGCTTTGATTTATTGATCAAGGTGCTGTATATTATCAAATAAATAAAGTTGCACAGCGATAAACATGTTTTTTTATTCTAACTATATGATTAATAGTTTTAAAAGTTAATACTTACATGACTGTAAGAATTTTATTCTTTGTTCTTTTATTATATTATATTATATCATAATATATTATATTATATTATTTATAATAATAAATAAATACATGGTTAAAATCATAAAATTAACAACTTATGCATCTTATACGTTCTATATTCACAATTTGAATTTCTTCCTTTCATAGCTTGAACGTTGTTACAATACTTTCTCTCCGCTTCTGAGTTTGATTCACAGAATAACAAAAATTTTAGCACATTTTCACATTGACAGGTTAGGTTAACTTTTGGTGGGTATTTTTATTCTGCTTAAAGTTTAACTTGATTGATTGTGTTTACTGTTTAGACTTCAAAATGGCTAAAACCCCCAAATCTGCCGATAAAAAAATGAAAACAATATTTTCTTATTTTAATAAAACACCTTCTGAGAAACGAAGTGCACTAACGTCACAGTCCGATCAGAACAGCGAAATTGACAAAGTAGCTAGCGCGCCAAAATTGAGAGATGAAGAAATTGTTGCAAGTGAGTGTGTTGCTTGTTGCCGTTGCACATGCAGTTGCATGTTTTCTTTTTCTATTTTTTCTTTTTTAATGAAGATTATTTACGCTAATTATTGTCAAACGTTTGTTTCATTTTGTCAAAGACTTGAAAGTGAATGAAGGGGATTTGGTGTGGGCCAAGATGCAGGGCCATCCATGGTGGCCTAGCCTTGTTTGCAAGCATTGCAAAGAAGGTTGGTAATCTTAGTTATTCTTTTTTCCATTTTTAGCAAAATTTGTCTTTTTCGACCATCAGTTAGCTTTTGTTTGATGTTTGTGTTGAAGTCAAATCTTTTTCTAATCATTATTAAGATGCAGGTTAAGATTTCCATTCTGGAAAATATGTAGCAAATGTGTACCTGGAAAAGCTAGCAAATGTTCATTAGCAAATGTTCAGTTTTAAGCTATTATGGAAGAATATAAAATAAAGTATAGTAAATTAAATGCTAATTCATATGAAATACTAAATAATTTTAATTAAATTTAAGGTTATATAATGATATTTAGTAATAATTGTGGGTTGGTTAGTGTCAGGGATAGGAAATGTTTGTTGAACGGCGTTTGCTTATTTTAGACAAGTGAATGGGTGCATTGTTGAATAAACAAAACACTCGTAATGATTAAAGGCCTTTTTGACTTGGAGACTTATTTCTATTAAATTTCTCTATGAACCTTTGTTTTGTAATAATAAGCCATTTTTTTTATTAGCTTTTGCCTAGTCGAATATGCTAATCTAATGTTAAATCAAGAGTATAAGTAGGTTTTTTTTTATAATCAGAAGTTAACTTCTGCAGTCAATATTTAAAGCTAAAAAATTGAACTTAAGATTGCGTTTTTGATTTGATTTTCAAGTTTCATGTGAATTGTTGACTTGAAATATATTAAAGAGTTGTCTGTCTTTAACAGTTTTTGTCTTTAAGATCATTTTAATAATTAACAATTTAAAAATGAACTTTGCAATTTATATTCATTCCTTAGCATTATTCACCTCTTTCAATTTAATTAGGTTTAATTGTTTAGTTACTTGAAGGCATAATTAAATGTGATATGCCCGAATTTGAAAGGTAAATTTTGGAAAAAAGAAAATGCAACCATGAAGATTCATGTTCAATTTTTTGGCAGTCCACCAAGTCGAGGATGGGTTAAAGAGATGTAAGTTGTTTTTTTAACTCAATTTTATGTGCTATTTTACAATCAAGGTGCTGTAGTTGGAAGTGTTTGCCAAGGTTTGGATTGGAGTTTCAGAGTAGTCAGCATCAAAATCATTTTTCATGTAACTATGATGTCAAAAATAAAAAAAGAATTATTTCCTATTAGATCATTTTTCTGCTTTTTATAAATTGTTATAGACTATTTTTTATTAAGTTCCAGCCAATGAATGATAGAAATACATGCATAATGTGTAAAAGTACAAATTGAAATAATGAAAACCATCCCAGATTTGAGCAGTTGAAATAAATTCAAAGTACATTCACACGACCAGGTCTATAAAGCCTTTCACTGGTTCATCATCAAAGGACTGCCAGAAGGGAGGTTTTCTGCACTGCCACCAGGCTGCATGGAAGGATGCTCTAAAGGAAGCTGACAAAGCCCTCCATGTCAGCGTAGAGGCTCGGGATAAGTTGGTTGTCACGATCGATTCATCGGATGGTGAGGAGGAAGTTAATGATGATTCCTTTACTGAGGAGAATAAAACACCATCATTTGCCTCTAAATGTTAATTTTTAATTTTTTCTATTGATAGTACAGTGTAAATAAATTTAAAAAAAATCTTTTTGAAGATCTTAAGAAAGGCAAAGATGATAAAGAGAATGCTGTAAGTTCCAAGCTGTCATTTTATGTGTGACATCATAATTGCTGAATTACAATACTTTTTTTGAAAATGAATAATGTTGAGTTAAAAGTAATCTTTTGTTATCTAGCCAGGAAATTCAGAATCAATGAGCTCCTCGAGCACTCCAAAGCGAAAGTCGACACGAAACACTGGCAAGAACAAACGTCGTCGCATAATTATGGATTCTGATGAAGAAGAAGAGGCTGGAGGTATGATTGTGATTGTGATCTGTGTATTTATTATAAATTATTATTATTTGTTGATTATTAATAATTAATTAATTAATTAATAATCGACATAATTAATTAATTAATAATCGACATTATTAATGCAGGAGTGAAATTGTCAATAAAATGGCCCACCAAAATTTTTATATTTTTCTTTTGACTGAATCGTTTTTAAGGTTTTATCTTCTATGTATATTTAAAAAGTTATTTTTGCTCAATCACTTTTCTCCCATTTTTATAAAAAATAAATAATATTTAGGTCAGTTGTACTCAACTTCTTACTAGTAAAACTAACACTGAATCATTAGTTGTTTGGGAGTGAACTTGCATGAACAAATCAGCATACAGTCTGACATGCCTGTAATTAAATATTTAACATGACAAGTCTCACAACAAACACAGCATGCTTTGTAAAAACTGGCAGAACTAAGTTTTGCACTAAAATTATGAAGTACTTTGCATAAATGTTTAACTGGTATTCGTTTATAATTCAGTTTAAACCACATTAAATGTTACTAGAGTTTATACTACCTCTATTGAGTATTATTTTTGCCACATCACATCATGAATTTCATTAAATAGCATGATGCCACACCTCACACATGACTATAATTTTTTCACGAATTGCAATATTTGATTTGCTTAGTTCTCACCACCGGTTACATTAAAATGAAATCTGGCAGATGACTCAAACGAAGAATCATTCCAACCATCAACGGAAGAAGATTCCACGGATGATGGCGTTAGTGAAGGTGACAGTGATGAAACAAATAACAACCACAATAGTGATGATGATGATGATGATAATGGCGGCAAGCCTATAAAAGTTAGTCTACAACTTTAATACAACTACCTTACTTGTTTCAATGTGATTTTTATTTATTAAAATGTTTGAAGTAGTCTACATGATCAATTATTTCAACCTTCATTGTTGGAAGAATTTGTTCCTCACTGGTTGGTTTGAGTTGCCGCAAAATTTTTATGATTTTAAAAACTTCTAAGTTTTAGCTGTTTCATAAAAAATCACACGTATTTTACCAGATCTTAATTAAAGTTTACTGAACTATTTTGAAAAATGAGATTATTTAACATGCACAATGCACAGAAAACACAAGCATACGTTGCATTAATTGTTGACATTTAAAATTTTTTCAGACTAAAAAGCGTTCCAGAGGAGGCAAGATTAAATCAGAATCAAAAGTTGAGAAGTCGCCAACAAGAGGTGTCGTAAGAGTTTTCCCAAATCAAATAGTCAAACGTAGTAGACCTAAAAAGTTGAAGAAAACTGATGATGATAAAGATGATGACATGAAGATAGATATGTGTGATGATAGTGAGGACCGAAAGACTCAAGTCTCTGCATTTAATAAGTCTTTCAATGTCTCACAAACTACAAAATCAAAATTGTTTGCCTTTTCCTCACCAGAATCGGTTTGGTTTCATTGAATCTCATTTATCATGCTAACCAACTAAATAACCTTCAAAATTCAATAATTTTCCAGAATAAAAAACTTTATTATTAAACAATGAAGGAATTTCATGATTTAATTTTCATGTCTAAGAATTATTGTTGTGATTTATTATTAAAAAGACAATATTTTTTATGAAAACATTTTAATTTGATACTGAACTGTCTGACTGTTCATCCATATATGCATGAATGCATACTGAACATAATCTGTGAGCCACTAATACTTTTATACATTCACTCATGCACATGAACATACATGAACATGCATGAATATACATAATTTCACACATACATTTTACATCACAGAAACGTATGTATCCATACATACATGTGAACATACATTCATCTATACATGCATTCTTCGTTCATACATACATACAAACAAACAAACGCTCGCTCACACATACATTTATTTATGCACAATGCGCGCACGCACACACACACACACACACACACACAAAACCACATCAGCAGGTTAAAACTGCACAAACAACATCACCAAATTCAAGCGGACAACGAACATTCCCACACACATCTTTCAAATTTCTGCAACCTCCCTACATCATGGACGCAAACAGACGTAAGGAAGATGATCCTGATTATGATCCTAAAACTCTCTACGTGCCAGTTGATTTTCTTAACAAGCAAACCCCAGTTAGAATTTCATTACATTCGTCAGTGTAAGACTGTTTGCCACAATGTGATCATCGTTTAATAGTTCATTCAGTGTGATATTCATTTCTAGGCCATGAAGCAATGGTGGGTATTGAAGAGTCAATATTTTGATACTTTACTTTTCTTCAAGGTTCGTGTTTGTGTCTTTTTTTGAGCATTTTTGTTGAGGTCCACTGAAACTCATTTATTCTTATTTTTGAAATTGTTTCACTTATTTTAATTATTTTGATTTTAACGAAAGATGGGAAAGTTTTATGAACTGTTTCACATGGATGCAGTCATTGCGGTCAACGAATTAGGCTTGCTCTTCATGAAGGTGTTATTAATTAAACATTGCTATTTGTGTTATGTATATAGTATGTATTTTGAAGTATTTTCTTGTGCTGGTTTGGGCATAGTTCATGTTTGTAATTTAAGTATTTTTTACTGTTAGTCACCACAAACTGCCCTTGGTGTTGCTTTCATTGTATGAACTGAAAATTTATTATTAACAGTAAATATTGATCATAATAAAAAATGCGTTCTGTAAATTATTTTGTGAGTTGTTGAATTCTTGAATTATTATTATACATCATGGTTCTTCAACAACAAAACAACAACACACGTTTAGACGACATTTTCTCCGACATCGAGGGTTGCCGTTTGGCTACCTATGATGAAACCGAAATACCCCTCGACGCCATTCACATCTGTCACTCGCCTCAGTATCACCCAACCCCGCTTTCACTTTGTCCTTCTCCACCTGCTCTCTCCATCCCAGTCGCGGACGACCTCTTCCTATCACTCCTTCAACCTCGAACTCCATCACTCGCCTAATCCCGACCCTTTCATCCCTTCTCAACACATGTCCATACCACCGCAATCTCGATCTCCTTATCAATGTCACAATGTCCTCATTCAGTCCCATCTCGACATCAGCTCTGTACTACTCCTCCTACCCTTCACTTCAACCCCACACATCATCCTGGTTATGACATTAAACTGACCCTCACTGCCTTGTGAGTGATGTTGGATCATCAAAGGCTAGGCCCACCGCTTATAATTGTGGTTGCGTAAAAATTAGCCAAATAAATTACTTATGATGACAGAAGTGACATGTTTTTTCACTTTACATATAACGATTTAAGACTGTAATGTAAGGTTACATCAGCTGGATTGGTGGAGATCTTACGAAATAGTTTGAACAACTTTATTGAACATACCAGCACCTTCGCTTTCCACAGGTCCTATTCATAGACCCAAAAGATAAGATACTGTTTCTTCTGTGACACTCTGGAATTGATTACTTGACCAACAACTCTTCAGATTTCAACGAATAATGAACACTTTCATGTTAAAATTTTTGAATCGAATCATTACAGCGTCATTAACTATACAAGTACCATCTGTACACAGGGTGATCATGCCCACTGTGGATTTCCCGAGATATCGTACGGTCGATACTCAGACATTCTTGTTCAACGGGGCTACAAAGTTGCTCGTGTTGAGCAGACGGAAACACCCGATCAGATGCAGGAGAGATGCAAACAAAGTCAGTTCTTCTCTTCTAATTTTGAGGATTTGCTGGCAATGAAATGTTTTAATTGTAAATTACCAGACTGCAATTTTTATTTGTGGAAAAAATTTTTCAAAATATTTTTTTAATATTGAATTGAAACTGTTATATAAATTAGAATGTTTAATTAATTTTGCACCCCAATAGCAAAATCTTCAAGTAAGATCGACAAAGTAGTTCGCAGAGAGATATGTAGCGTGCAATCGAAAGGAACCAAACGATCGAGTTTTATTGATGGAGACTGCTCAGGAACCAATCACAACTTTCTTTTGGCCATCGCTGAAAAGGTCAGATTTTTTTATCTTTTTGCTAACAATTTTATTAACATATTAAAAATTGTAATTATTTTAATAAATATTTAATAAATTTTTATTTTTAACATTTATTTTTTAACATTTGTTAGAACGTTGGTTCAAAATCTACATATGGAGTTTGTTTTTTGGATGTCATGATTGGAAAATTTTATGTTAGTAAATTTGTTTGTTATGTTCTCTATATTTGAAAATGACCAATTTGTAGTTGAATTAATTATTGGTTGTACAACTTTTGATTGATTTTTTTTTTTATTTTCCGTCTAGATCAGTCTTTTAATACCAAATTGTTACCAATTCATTACAAATAATCGTTTATTAACCTGTTGTTATTGTTACAATAAATGAATCATTCAGGTAGGCGAGTTTGAAGATGACAGACACGGCTCGAGGTTGAGGACACTGGCATCTCACCACCCACCTGTCCAGGTGTCCACTTTGTTATTGTAGTCACTATAGGTTCAATCTTGACGAGGACCTATGAGCCACCTTTAATACTTTTGCATTCTATTTGTCTTATATCTTCTTAAGGTGCTGTATGAGAAAGGCAAGTTATCAGAGAAGACAAAGATGATATTCAATGGTTGTTTGAGTCAGTGCCTCAAGGAAGGACTCAAATCTTCCACTGAGTTTTGGGATGCCACAAAAACGTTGAAGCAGCTTCACGAGTTGAAATATTTTCTCCCTGCTGGAAATGATGACAATGATGATGAGAATGCTGATGGTGTTGATAATAAGACAGAGTGGCCTGAAATATTTCACAAGCTTACAGATCCTGGTTTCTATGACATTATTTTTGTGATTTTTCAAAATTTCTTTTCATAATGTCATTTCCTGTCAAATATGAGCTGAAAAATTTTTTCACCAGATGACCCCCTTCGTTTGACACCATCTTCAACTTTCCAGCTGGCGCTTTCGGCCCTAGGTGCCACCGTTTGGTACCTTCGCCGTTGTCTCATGGATGAAGAGTTGCTTTCTCTGAAGTCTTTTGAATTGTACACGCCTGTTGACTACAATACCGAACAAACTAATGGCAGGAGTGGGAGTGAACATGGCAACATTTCAAATGTTGATGAAGATGCGGCTGATGAAAGTTATTCCAGTCAGTGCAATAGGTCCTCACAGTCCGTTGAGAGCACTAACAAAAGAATGGTGGCTGATATTTTTATTGCTGTTTTCATCGTTGTTTCAATTTTCTTTCCATTGCTCAACTAACTATCTAATTGTTCATTACAATCTTACTGTTAGCTCTGTGATTTTGTGTTTGCGTGTGCAGATGTTCTCAGGTTGGTTTCCAGTTTACTGTTTTTCTGGTAAATTTATATTTTGTTTCTATGTTATACAGTCAAGTTTCACTATACCTTTAAGAAATATGTAACATTCAATGTAGACTTTTATTTATAATTTGAAAAAATTGATGTAGGTGTTGGATGGGGTGACATTAGTGAACTTGGACGTGTTGGTCAACAGCAGCAATGGTACAATTGAAGGCACTCTGCTCCAAAAACTTGATTCCTGCAAAACTGCGTTTGGTTTGTTTTTCCAATTTTTCATTTCAAAAGTTCATTTTAAATTATTGCTTTTATCTCAAACTTATTTTTTAATCGTTTGCTTCATTAAATTTCTCGTCACAGGCAAACGTTTAATAAAGCAATGGTTGTGCTCTCCTTTGTGCAATGTGTCATCCATCAATGATCGACTGGATGCCATGGAGGACCTCATGAAGGTTAAGGAGGTCACAGCTTCCATAGTTCCTCTGCTGGCCAAGTTGCCTGACTTGGAGAGATTACTTAATAAGTCAGTTGAATCTTTATTGGAAATGTTTTGCGGTGATGTTGAAGTTAAATATTTTATGCAACTGGCATTCAAAATTTAGTAATTTTTTTAAAGTGTGGCCACTAAAACCCAAGCACAATGATACTTTGATAAATGTGATCTTTTCTAGATTTGATCACCTATAGTTTGGTTTTCATTGAAAAAATTGTTTGCCTGATGTTCTGATACTCTTACAGCATGTATACTTATAATGAATAATAGATGCATATTCTACGCCAGGCATATTTTTATATAATAAATACACGTTCGACACCGTCCAATAATTCAATAATCTCCCTCTGTGCTAACAACTGCAGCATAATTTCTAAACAGATACAACAAAACAGGTGCATAGTAATTTCATTTTTCAGAATTCATACCCTTGGCTCTTCAAAGAGGAACAAGAACCACCCAGACAGCAGGGCTGTATTTTTTGAAGATGTAGTTTATAGGTAATTTGAATTTTCATTGAATTTCATTTAAGGATTGAAAGAAATTTTTAGATTCTACAGTTCTACAATTATTAATATTGGATTTCAAATTAACATTCATCTTTGTCAACTTATACAATTGTACACATTTAATTTGCACACACTTTATGTATGCAGCAAACGCAAGATTGAAGATTTCTTGCAAACAGTTGAAGGCTTCAGAACCACACTCTCCATCATTAAAAAATTTTCAAACTCCACCTCGGACTTCAAGTTGGCACGCCTATTTTATAAATTATTTAAAAACTGGTTTTTTGATTAATATTGATATTTTTGATGTTTCATTTTGTTGTGTAAGTTAATGCCTTCATTTCCATCAGCAAGTTTTGACATGTTATTTTCAATGAACATTAAATAGAGATATCTGTAATGATCTCATCTGAAACACGAAAAACTAAACACCACATTTGATTGACAAGGTCCAACATATTGAAGCAGTGTGTGCTGATGAAAAGTGAAGATGACCAGGTTGGACGTGGGGCCGGCAGATTTCCCAACATCAAACCGACATTGGATTTTTTTGATGTAGGTTCACTTCAAACGTTCTTCAAATTAACAATCAATCAATCAACCATCTCTATTCATTATTGTGAATCATTTTCTTCATAGTCTGCCTTTGATCATCAGAAAGCAAGATCTGCTGGCGTCATCAAGCCCATGTTAGGTTCGTTACATTTTCTTTTGGCTCGTCAATTGGAAAATATGAACTAAAAGATGAAAATGAAATAGCCATAAGGATTTTGTGGACTTTTATTATTTTTATTCTTTCATTCCATGGATATTTTTAATGAAGTTGATCATGTCAAGACAATATATGATCCTAGGCAATTGCAACTGTTGAAATTTTTTAAGAATAAAATCAGGAAGAGATTTATTAGTTATAAATAAATTCATTCATAAGGGGTGAACAAGAATTATGATTGTGCTGTGAATGACATTAAAAGTATTGAGGACAAGTTGAATGGTCTGCTGGATCATCTGAAGAAGCAACTTGGCTGCAAGGTTTGTTCTGTTGGACTGTGTTTGGTTATCTTCTGTGCATAACTGAAATCATATAATTTTTGTGTCCTCCTTTCATTTGACTGGTTGGTTCATTTACTTTGCAAAATTTTCCAGACACTGACATATTTTGGTACGGCACGCAACAGATATCAGGTGGAAGTGCCTGAAGCATTTTGTCGTAAGATTTCGGATGATTTTGAAGTGACGTCACAGAGGAAGGGTGAGTAGTTGTTTATTTGTTTGTTTGTTTCACTGTTTGTTCACATGTTTCGTTCACTTCTTGGTTCATTTGCATGTTTCTTCTTCATTTACTTGGGACTGTCTGTTTTAGCATTCTATACATTAGTTGATTGATGTAAATTTGAATAATGGAAATATTATATTCACCCAACTAGTTATGCTCAACTTATTAATAAATTACGCCAAATAATTTGTAAGGTTTCAAAAGGTACCAAAGTGAAGAGATAAAGAGGTGGTTCGCGAAGCTGATGGATGCAGAGGACAGGAGGGACGAGGCGCAGAGGGACACCATGAGATGCATATTCGACCAGTTCGACAGGCAGTTGGTGTTTTTCGAATTTCTTGCAGTTAGTTGAAATTCAGGATTAATATTTTGAAAATAATCTATCATGAAATAGTTACAACAAATGGATCGAAGCAACTCAGTGCATTGCGGTGCTTGACGTTCTGTTGTCCTTGTCCGTGTACAGCGGTCAGTCGGATGGTGTCATGTGCAGGCCGAATGTTGTTCCATACCTCAAAGAGGTTTCCAATTTGCTGCTCTCTCTCTATTTGGTTCACTCACAATAAAGTTGTTTCACTTTCTTTCATGGTGGAACTTTATTTATTTAAACAATTATCTCACTCGTCAACATGCCAATGTTAACTTTTTGTTCTGATAATTTCCACCTTACATAATAACTTTTCTCACGTTTGCTCAACGTTTTTACTTGATGTTAACATGCTTACTTATTCCATTCCTGCTTTCAAATCATCCAATCACCTTATTGTTTATTATTTTTGATGAAACAGTCATTCGTTGAGATAAGAAGTGGCCGACATCCATGCATCGGCGGCAGAACATTCGTTGGAGGGGACTACATACCTAACGATACCATCATTGGTCAGCAGGTCTGCCAAGTACCTACCTCGCTAAATGTCATGTTGGATAGAATTCGTTAAACATTGTGCCAGTTTTGTTAATATTTCTTTCAATTAACTCTTGAAGAATGTGAATACTAGTGAATCCCTCCATCACACACATTGATGGGCAGGGGTCACTTTGCATTTGAAACAAGTCACTGCAGAAGCATAATCGAGCACCTTAACCATTACACTATCTCGCCGCTTTATTGGTTACATGTTTCATGAGATACATTCTGAGTTATACGATTGTGAAGACCGTTGTTGTCATCAGGATGGTTAATAAAAAAAATTAACATTAAATAAAGAAAGAAGCAAAATTAAACAGATATTTTGAAATGAGGTTTTTCATCGAGTTGTATAAATTTATTAAATTATTCCATTTTCGAAGCTGTTGGTGGTTGATATCTGATGTCTTTGTTGATAGGAAAATAGGCATATCTCTACATGACAATTTCAATAAAATTTATTATTAACATTTAATTTTATTAATTTAAAAAAATGTTTTTTATAATTTATATTTGGAAGGACGAATCCTCATCATCGCCTCGAGTTTTGTTGGTGACAGGTGCAAACATGGGTGGAAAGTCAACACTGATGAGACAAGTTGGACTCATATGCCTGCTTGCTCAGTTGGTCAGTTGATGTTGGTCTGTTGGTGTTGGTCTGTTGGTGTTGGTCACTTTGTTGTTGTTGTTTTTGTTATAAATTGCTAGTCCAGTTGTTGGTGGTCAGTTCTGTTGTTTTTGATTGTGACTAGGAAACGTAAAAAATTTTATTTTTTATAGGGCTTTATAAGTAGTGATGAATGAATTCAATTTCACACATTCATATAGCATACACTTAACAACATATTTGAACCCTATTGAACTGCTTCAGACTAGTACATAAATCTTCTAATGATATAAACTTTTTAGTTTTTTAATTGTTTGAAATTTGTATTGGGACCACACGTTTGTACATCTTGTAGGGTTGTTATGTGCCAGCAGAGGTGTGCAGGTTGACCCCCGTGGACAGGATCTTCACGCGGTTGGGTGCCTCCGACCACATCATGTCAGGTTCGTTGCCACGTCACTCGTCTAACTTTTTTTTTATCGCACTTCCGGTTTAGTAAAAGTTTTGAAAATGAAGAAAGGTTAAAGAAATGAAAATAAAATTGTTATCTTGTTTTACATGGAGTAGTTTTTTGAAGTAGAGCTTATTTTATCACGTTGAAACTGAGGTTCCCAACTAGTTCCTATTAATATTTCAACCATTTTCTAAACAAAGTTCTGATATTTTTGTTTAGATTTTTAAGAAACTTGCTTATTGGTTGAGTTCTGATGAACGATTTAATAGAATCAAGTTATTGATTTTTAAGAAACTTTCTTATTGGTTGGTGAACTTTCTTATTGGTTGGTTCTTATTGGTTGATGAACGATTTAATAGAATCAAGTTATTGATTTTTAAGAAACTTTCTTATTGGTTGGTGAACTTTCTTATTGGTTGGTTCTTATTGGTTGATGAACGATTTAATAGAATCAAGTTATTGATTTTTAAGAAACTTTCTTATTGGTTGATGTTAAAGTTAGAACGGTGATGATGATTCTTTGTTAGGAGAGAGTACCTTCTTTGTGGAGTTGAGTGAAACTTCGTGTGTTCTGCAACATGCAACCAAACATTCCCTCGTTCTCCTCGATGAATTGGGTTTATGATTAATTATTTTATTATTAAATATTCATTTTCTTTTTAAAAGAAATTTTCATTTGACGATTTTTGACTGTGGTTGGACAGTTGAGTTATTAATTCGGTTACAATTTTTTATTAAAATATGATTTATTAATTGATTGAGTTATTCGTTAATTGATTGATTGATTAACTGATTGACTGACTGATTGATTGGTATTTGAATGTGAAGGTAGGGGCACAGCCACGTATGATGGCAATGCGATTGCAAGCGCGGTTCTCCAGGAGCTGTCGGACAACATACGATGCCTCACCCTCTTCTCCACACATTACCACACCATCGTTGAACGATTTTCATCCAATAGGAATGTTTCCCTGGCGCACATGGTGTGTTTTCCTTCATTTCAATTTGTTATGTTGGCAGTTTGTGTTTCTATGACGGTTTCAAAATCAGTTTTCAAAATCAGTATAGGATCTCCAACATTCAAAATATTTTTTAAGTTACTTTACTGAAATTATTACTCAGATGAAACTTAAGACAATTATTATAACCATAATGATATATAAATATAATCAAGTTATTGAAATAGTTGTTGAAACGACACACAGGCCTGCATGGTGGAGAATGAAGATGACGATGATCCAACCCAGGAAACCATAACATTTCTCTTCAAGTTGTCTTCAGGCAATTGTCCAAAGAGTTACGGATTCAACGCCGCTCGCCTGGCTGGCATTCCCGATCAAGTTGGTAGAGTGTGGTTGAGTTGTATGCCATCAAGGGTCATGCTGTTGTGGTTCAGCAATTCTGTGTTGATTTTATTTGTTGTCTGGACATGCGCTTTTAATCAGTATATGTTTAGTTATTTGTCGTTTGTTTTGTTTCGTCATCTATTTATGTTTTCTCATGATTGCAGGTGATAAGAGAGGCTCACACGAAAGCACGTCAGTTTGAAGAATCAGTTAGGACCATCAAGATGTTCAGGTTGAAAAAATTTTTGCCGCTACTGTATTGTTATTAACTTTTTATAATTCCGAACAATCGTTGAATTCAAATTTGTTTGTCAATAAATAAATTATTTCTTCAACGAATCTCAATCTTGCAGGCAGTTGTGGCGCATGAAGTCCAGTGAAGCTGCCACAAAAAACATTTCATCGATTATTTCACAAATCTGAAGCTACCACAAAAAACATTTCATCAATTATTAAATTTATCCGAAGTACTAAGCCCTTTCTCATTCTAAAAATATTTGTATCGTTTTCACGCATGTTCATTTTGTACTTAAAAGCAGGAACGCATTGTTGCCAATGTTGTAAACTGCAGGTATTATTATCGGTGTTATTTTTGATTTTTTAACTACTTGAAAACTATAAAATTTCAGTCAGCGATAATTTTTTTTCATAAAAATAAAAAGGCACCCATACATCTTAAGGAGTTATCCATACAACTAAGTTGTGAAACAAATGAGAATGTCAGCGAACTCTTGTTGGAGTTGGAATTGTATTCTTTAATATTTTAAGATCCCTTACAATATTCTTCGTTACGAAATTTAAAAACTTTTTGTTACAGTCAGAAAGAGAAATATTTTTGAAAATCCCCATGTTATTAAGCTTTAGAGTTTTTCTGAGATCGTCTCAGGAATGTTTATACACATTTTCAATTTCGAAGAATTATTATTTACAGAGGCAGTTTTAACTTGATGATTTATTGAACTTTATCAAAGATGGGATGAAACTTTACATATATTGTGAGATAATTGTAATAATGATTAAATTTAGCCAGCTTTAAAACTTGTACTTAATAATAGGCTAATCAGAAGTGTTTTCAATGTTGGTCTGTATTGAAAGTCGTTAGCGATTGACATTTGCTTACCCTGCGGGAGAATATGATGTACTAACTCAGCAACGTTGCTACAAAATGAAAGAAATGAGACGTTTTTATGAGTTCCCCGATAGTTTCTAACCAGCTTTACGACCTGACGCATGATATCTGATGTGTAATAATTTAAAATAAGGGAAATCAGCCGATTTAAATTTGCTGTATGTTTGTCATCAAGTGCGTTTCCTATTGCTATTATCGATTTTCACTAAATTAAATGAAGTTTTCTGCGGCTGTTAACACGGCTTTGTACTAGAAAATGATCGAGACGTTGCTAATTCATTAAACTAGCAGTGTTTTCAAAAAACTGATTTTATATCAAGCGCCTTTGACAAGCTATAGGTAGGTAGCTGAACACATTTCTTGCAGATTGGTTAAGAGTGGCAGTTTTTTGATGTCAGCTGTTTTAATTTTTTACTTTCGTAAATTTTATATTTGAAATTAAAATCTATTAGATAAATTTGATGCTTCCCGTTACGAACCTTGCGGCAAAGTGAAAAATGGCGTAAACTTATGATTAATTTGTTTTAATTAAAACAAGTTAGACAAATCACACAATCTCAAAATCTATATTAAAGAACTAAAAATAGTGTCAAATCGTCAAAGACTCATCTACATTGTTGTGCAAAAATGTTTTTCAAATATTTAGAAAAATGAAATTAAATTAAATATGTCTACATAAAATTATTTACTGCTCAATACATCGAGCACACTCGGAACCACGGTGCAATCGTTTAGCTGGACTAATTAGGTTGACACATTTTTGCAGCAATCAGTTCTAGAAATATTTAAAGCAAATGTTATAAATTTATAAAAAAATAAAAGTTACAAAATCTAATGATACCTATAAAGTTTTTCCTGCAGTAAAAATCCGCAGCGCACACTGAGCAGTTACTAAGGCCACTAATCCATTTAGCCATTCCCGTCACGATTGCGGCTATTATCGGTGGAAGAACTACCGAAGCTGCAGGCCATGATGAGTCATTGTAATTTATTTTGTACCAGTCTTTGTATGCGTTGGGAGTGCATTTCCAAGAACTGTTGCTCTGGACATAATCATCCGATGATCCAATTATTAAACCATCTGTTACGTTTTTAGATTGAAAAAGATTAATTAAAAAATTATTGTAAAAACGTTATCTAAGACATTCAAAAAAACTGTTATAGAATTAAAATGGTGGAAAAATGTTAACAACTAGGTCCTCCATCGTTGCGAGCCAAAACTGCAAGAACGTGAAGCTGAGTTGCAGACAGATTGTAGGTATCAGCAGTGGTCACGTCATTAGCATGAGGAAAGTTTAATGCTACGGATATGTTCTTTCCATTGACGTAAAATCCAATTAGAGCATTGTCTACGCTAATTGTCAAAATTGTGTTGATACGAGAAGGGCCTTGAAAAATTTGATTTTTAAAAATTTATTTTAATTTAAAATTATATTACAACACATACTGGTAGAAAAATGAAATCAAACTTTTTTTTATATAATGTTGACATCCGGAAAGAATAGAATACTTTTTCAACGTTTGATTAAATAGTTGACACTGGTTGGTAGCATTCCAGAAATTGTATGCCAAGCAGTCCGGAGCTTTGAGACATGCCATAGAGCAGAACATCAGAGCTCCCCAACAAGAGAATGTAGATAAGGTGAAGTTGTCTGATGGACGGTCGCATGAACAAAAACTTGCACCATCTTCTTTGAATCTCTGAAAACAGTTGCTTTTTGCTATAATCACATTTAAGTTAATATAGAAGAAAATAATTGCTATTGCGGAACGCATTCTGCTAGACATCAAAGCGAAGGATTTGACGAAATAAATATGCAGTTCTAGTTGTTTTATACAATTTCAAAAAATCGATAATTAACTGGATTCAAATCAAATTAAAAAACCAATTTCTTGAAAAAATCTTCGTAAATTTTTAAAATTAGAACAATGATAGCAAATGGACTGCTTTTAAATTTTGAAAAAAAAAATGAAATTCGATTTTCTTAATTGCACTTGAAAGTATAAAAAAATGGAAATTTCCTAAAAAATTTGATAAATACAAAAATTAAAAGTTGGCCATGCTAGCTTTTAATTTTTTTTAATTAATTTTTTCAATTAATTTTTTTTAATTAATGTTTTTTTGTATATAATAACATAACAAACTGGAAGATAATATGACATTGGGCATGTTAGGCGAGTGGTTAAAGTTTTTTTTATATAATTAAATACCATTGCAACTCTACAGCCCATAACGTTTCGTGGAATATGGTTAAAAAAACTATTTAACATATTTCGCTATCAAATGAATTTTATTTCTGATGGCGTAGTAGAAAAATAATAATGCATCGTATTATACCATCCAAACGATTTTAACAGTCAATCTTCCTTATTTTATTCTTTAAAAAATTTCATATTCGTCCCTCGATATCTGGGTTAATTTTATCTTGGTTTGATTTTCATATTTAGCAACATAACATTCTAATCTTGGGTTTTTTAGAGTCGTTTTTTGCTGACATAGAGTTGGCATGAAAGCTGGAGACACTGTTTAACGTGTCAAATGTTGCGGCTTACTAACAACATTTCTAAAGTACAATCGGGATTGAAATAATTGAATTTTAATTTTCAATGTCACAAGCAACAAAATGTTTTAATGAAGGATTTAACCACATCAACATACAACCAGTTAGATTCTGACGTTACATTCTGAGTGCTTTCATATATTTATATAATGTTAATATATATATATATATATATATATATATATATATATAATAACTGATGAAAATCACAGCATGTTCGGCGTTAGTTAACTTCCAATTCAAATTTTCGAAAAGTTAAATTGGAATTTAACTAACGCCGAACTTGCTGTGATTTTCATCAATAATTGTATTTCTGACAGTCTTAATCCAATATATAATAATAACGTATACATATAATTTTTCAGAAATTTTATCTCAAAATTTTTGTTGAAAAAATGTTAAATATGTAAATCTGGACTTATTCGCATTTCATTAAGTCTTTCAACCGCATGACAATAATGATAAGGTAGTCTCAAGGATGGTTATAAAATATAATACATTCTGCTCGGTTGGATAGCATTATTTACAACAATTTACAACAGCAGCAGCAACAACAACAACATAACAACGGCCTACCAACATTCTATCAACAGTCTAACAAAAAAATACAACAACATTGCCATAAATTACAAACAACATAACCAAAAATAAATAACCACGTCAAAAATTTACTAACACTCATTTACGTCATTTACAAATAAATAAATAAATAGTTATAAATATAGAAAAATTAATAAATGAACTAATTATCAAATAAATAAATGAAAGATAAATTGAAAATAGTAAAAAGTTTTACAGAAAAAAAGATACTTTTTCAATTCATAAACTATGCTTCTCATGGCGAGTTTTATTTTGTAAGTGTTGTTTAGTATCATTTTTTTCATTTTGTTGCAGTTCAAACTAACTATAAGTTATTAATTTTTTCCTTCAAAACAAATAATTTTTTCATTGTTTGTAGAATTTATTTATTCTTAAAATATTCAATTTTATGACTAATTTTTGTCAATTCATAATGCCAGTTGTTTAACTTGAATTTTTTAGTTTTTCAACAACCATTTTTAGAAAAATACGTTATCACATTAATAACACTGTCAAATGTCAGTGCGTGTGTGGTTGCTTAATAGGAAGAGAGAGAGAGAGAGAGAAAGAGAGAGAGAGAGAGAGAGAGAGAGGAGAGAGAGAGAGAGAGAGAGAGAAGGAGCAAGAGAGAGATTTTAGTATTATAGTACAATTTATCAATATTAATTGTTTTAAGCACTTTTTAATGAAATACAAACAAACAACTACAAACAAAATATTTGTATTAAACCAGGCTTCGATAGGTGTAATTTCAAATTTTGACTCGGAAATATTTTTAGATTAAATTTTCAATTCAAAAATTTGAGATGGAATAACTTTAAATCATTTTTAATTTTTGAGAAATTTAACGCATATTTCATGGGACACAAGGGACATTCAAAAGCAGTCGATCTTCAGTTGGGGGGCACGTGGCCCATCAGTTGTGCCACCCTACCCACGGAACATGCCGACTTGTACAGGTACGTTCATTGAAAAACGTGTAACAGCTAAAAACTGTGATTTGAATGATTGGGAAAAGTAAAGAATAATTTTTTGAACTGTTTTTTTTGAATTAAACTTTAAAATGCATGCATTTATTGATTATAAAATATCGTTTTAACCATAACTATTTATGTATATATAAACACACACACATTCATCCATCCATCCATTCATTCATTCATCCATCCATCCGTCCGTCCGTCCGTCCGTCCGTCCGTCCATCCATCCATCCATCCATCCATCCATCCATCTATCCACATATCCATTCATCTATCCAACCACACTGTCAAACGAAACAAATGCATAAACTTGGATAAACTTTAGAAAAAACCATTAAACATAGTAACGAGTACACAGGTGTATTTTATAGAGATCACGGGTCGTGTGGGTGGTTATCATTTGGACTACACCAACAACAACAACAACAACAACAACAACAACAACAACAACAACAACAACAACAACAACAACAACAACATCACAGCAGTTATAAATAATGATAATGTATAAAAAGAATTGAGGATGATGATGACGCATTATATGAGGATGACAAGCATTGGGGCCCCGGTGCTTCTTTAATGATCGCATCTTCATAAAGCACACACCGACTAATTATAAGCCTCTACACGTCATAAATGTAAAAATAAATATATGCGAATTATATATAGGGGTCATATATTCATATTAAAATTATATATGCAATAAATTAATAAATAAAAATAAATATATTTACATTTATTTATATGATAATGCAATTTTTAGAGGCTTTGCCATATTTTTGCGGCTCAAATGATATTTTGAAGCAAAGTCAAAGTACTTTTTCAATGTCTGTTTGGATGAAAGTGTTGCAAGCCTCCAAAAAGTGATCGACGCATGACATGATGGAGTGAAAAATGATTGGATTGAATTTGTATTGTTGGTAGATAGGTGGTAGCTATTTTTTGTGTCTATTAAATTTTTAGTCAGTTTTCATTTAGTTGTTTGTGGAATGTTTGATGTGAAGGAGATAAATGTATCTACCGACATGCATGACACGTTTCATTTTAATCCGCAGTATAACAAGGTTGTTTAACAAAATGACGAACCTGGAGGAAGCTTGATTGACGTTTACTATTGATTGAAAGAAGGCAGAGAGATAATATGGAACATAAATATTGTTCTGCCGTCTTTGAACGTGTTGTGCATTCGAGCGAGCGTAACAAGAGAATGAATAATTTGTGCAATGTTTCTACATGGATTTTATTTCATCATCAAACGTTGTATGACGACTCACTGTGTCACGTTACGTTATGAAATGGGGACTAATTGTTTTGCGAATTTCTTTTGTTTCTTTCCTTATGAACGCTGTTACATAATTTTTATTGTTTTTAATATTAAGTAAAACATTCAAAGGATTTGTCTTTGAAGTTAACACAGCAGCGCCTGCCTGAGGTGTGGTAACGTTGGGCACCGGGTAACTGAAGGCGCCAACAGCTGTCAGCAAACTTTGACTTTCGTGACTAAAAGAAAAGTAAGCGAGATTTTATAATTAAAAATTGCTATGTCAGACAAGCAATTTCAACCGATACAACTAAATTAAAGCAAAGGCAGATAAATCACATCGACAAAATTTTTTTTCCTTTCGCATTGAGGCACTAACCAATTTTCATCCGAAGGGGAAACCTAATGATTAAAGACGCCCGATCCTGCTCTCTAGTGATCTACTTCATGTGCACACAAATTTCCACCTATAATATACAAGGTATTTGATGCCTGGTTCTTCTAAAAATGGTTGAAATTCATTCCATAAACCATGTTCAGAAATAAGAGCCTGAACTTGAGGTCATACAGTTAATCGTTTCGTTAAAAATAAAAAATAGCCCAAACAACTAATCTGTTGTTTTATATAGAGTAAAAATTTGATTTCTTAACAAAATTCTCACTCCCATTAGTGTTATAATATAATAAAGTTCACCACGCAAGCAAAGAATTTTATTGTGGAAATTCCCACTTTCCCTGCCCAACTTTGAAATTTCAACGCAACGTATCCTCCACCAACATGCCGGCCTATTTATACTACATTGTTCAATTAATTTTATCAACATTTTTCAATGTTATATCTTCGTATATCTTCGTATGTTATATCTTCGTATATATAGGCTTCGTATAATCATCAATGGCCACAACTTTGAAAACGGTTGCTATCTTGGTTGGAACATTTTATTTTTTAAAATAAAGTGAACGAATAAAAATAGTAGTTAATCGATCCTTTTAAAAACGTTTCTTGTAAAAATGCTTTTATTTTATTTCTAAAATATAGTTAAATGCCACGTCAAATCATGTTAGATAGGCTATACAATTAAAAACTAGTGTAGCCAGAAATTTTCCGTAGACAGCTTCTACAAATGTGATTGATCTCTTCTCGTTCACTCGATTTTTTTATCAACTTATCATCTTCTTATCATTTAAATGACATTTCAATGAAAAAATATTTGATGTTGTTTCTAATGTGTTTCTGTGAAGAACAAATTTTTAAACTTCTTCATATTGCAACTCTGTCATACGCAGAACTGCATACATGTTATTTTCTACTTGTAATTAAACATTTGTGCCACAAAGGCTGTACACTATCCACCAGCCATATGACGCACATACACATCATTTATGCACGCGCAAGCACCGCATAATTTGAGTTTCGGACAGACAGTATTCGAACCCCGCCACCACGTAAAAGCAGCGCGAGACATGGCACTTCTAACAACTGAACTACATCGGTGCCCATCTTTTATTTTAACAAGCAAATTTGTTGCGGAAGTCGTCGTAGGACTTTGTTGTAGTGGAACGCAAGTCCTGAAGCTACGTGTGGAAGGATACACGTCGTCCAGTTCCAGTGAAATGTTGATCACTAGATAATTCTGGTTTCTCTATCAACTTCCTTCTTATCCATCTAGATTCAACCACTGAAACAGCTAGTTAAATGTAAGATAAATGTAGTTTGGAGCAGCTAGTTAAATGTAAGATAATCAAAAAGAGTTTATATTATAAGCTAGGACAAAACTTTTTTGTTTTGTTGCATGCATCTTAGTGATACTTTCGAGATTTATTTGCATTATTAATCAGTGCAAAGACGAACATAACAAAATAAAAAATTTTTCAAGGTAATAAAAATGTTTTCAAACCATCGTACTTCAAACTGAACATAAACAGATCTTCCTAATTAGCTTTAAAGTTTAAAAACAGTTACCAATGCAAATGCAAATTTAATGAAAATTATTCGATTAAACGTTTTAAATTCATGATATTTTTATTTCTTCATAAAAAATTATAAAAATGTGTAAATTGCTAATAAAAAATTGTCAGTGTTTACAAAATCATTAAAAAAATTAAAAACTAATTTACATCGTCACGCGGATTTTTGATATAAAATGAGCAATTAACAGAATATGTTAGCACAATATTGGTACTGCCAGCAAATTTATCGCACATAAAAGGGTCTGGAATGTTCCATTTAATGAACGAATTATTATTCCAGCAAGCAGTGGCTGTGCTGTACGGGATAGACATACATACACACAGCAGACAGACAGACAGACAGACATACACACCACACACACACAAACACACACAAAACAAACACACGCTGTTTTATCATTAAGATAATATATTATGATTTACGTTTGTTGATATTTCACAAGATTGTAACTGTTTTTTCTTCCTTGACTTTGTGTGGAAAGATGCGTCCTGAACATATCCACCCCCCTTTTGAATCCACCCATCTGCGTTATTACATTCTATTTTTAACTCTTGCGGGTCAATCATAATGGTCATTTCATTATTTCATGAAGATTTGGTGCACAAATTGGGCCAAATGTGCTTTTGATTGAAGCGAAATGGAATGATAAAAAGAATAGTAATTTGTATATGAAATTATTCGTTATAATGAAAAAAATACAATGGAGAAAAATAAAATGTTGGACTTTTACAGTACAAAAATCATTTGGATTTTTTAAAGTTTTCCTCAGAGTTTTCCTTCCTGTCCGTAACTCATTGGAAGCATAATAGTGAAATCGTTTGAATGGTGCTGGTATCTTGTAAAAAATAACCAAAGTTAGTTAGTTAGTTAATTAATTAATTAGCTGATTAGTTTGTTGTTAATTGAATAATACTGAAAACCATTAGGAAAGAGAGCAGTGCATCTGTATTTTGTCAGCGGGCAGAGTATTGTAACGAATTCGCATTTTAAGTGAGATGTAAATAAGAAATGAATCAAAATGATCTACATGCCTTTCTGCTGATCTGGTATTTTTGAACAAAATTTGCGAATTTATAATATTAATTGCATACAGATTTTCAGCAATAAACAAAGTTTTGAAAAAGTGAAACGAGTGAAACATATGCGCTTAAACTTCGCTATAACGTAGGTACTTCTGCAAATAGTAAAAATTGGCACGTCATATCCGGTTAACTTTTTAATAATGAAACTGTATTTATTAACTAGTTTATTACAAGTTGTTCATTTTCACGATTTAATAGCATCAATAAGGTTTAAAAGTTGTACCATTTTAATAGTTTAGAATAACTAACTGCTTAATTGTTGATCAAAATCTGACGCATCTTGTGTTTGTTTAGGTTACATCTGACATTTTGAAGACCAACACCAAAGAATAAAAATCTATCAAACAAATACTAATAGAAAGTGGCCCGGTTAAATTAATATTAAAGTAGAAAATCTGTCAGATACACTGCGTGTGCGATCTCTCAAATAGCAATAAACTTTAATTAATTATCCCCAATCATTTGCCGCTCAACTATCTTCAAAAAATCAAATTTTTTTAGAATACGCTACAAAAAAGGGATATAATTGGTTTTCTGTTAACGAGCAGAAATTTCGGTACTTTTTATCGAAAGTAAGTTATATTTGCGTACGTCGAATTCCTACAAAAATCATGTAAAAATGTTGAGAACATAAATTTTCGTTCTCTATATTTACCAAAGATATTTTATCGTATTTAATATTTGTAATTAAAGAGAACCATGTTATCTCATTAATTTTATACTAAACAGTAATTTGCTGTTTTCAATAAGTGTTGATTTTTTTCTACTTTTTTTTTTATAAAAATAATCATTAATTATGATGAAGGAATGAATGACTTTAATATCCATTGCATTCAATGTTGATTGAAACAAATTTTGTTATCATTTTGTTTTCTGCTTAACATAAATATACAAAAACATTTTTTTATCTGTTTATTAAAAAACATTTTGTTTATCTGTTTAAATTTTATGTTTTTATATTATTTTACAACTCGAAATGGCTTCAAATAAGTGAACAATGATGATGTCAGAACTCATGCTGCTAAAACAGATGACCCGTTGTCTGTTTTTTTGTTCGGCAAACATTATCACGTTCATCTGCTCTAGATCGGAGGTGGTCTGCGAAAAATTAAAAAGTGTAAACGTTCTAACGAGTCCACAACAAATGGTTATGGAATGTTCTGTTTGTGTGTGCTTGAGCAACTTTTTGTGGCATTGGAAAGGTATTTTTTTTTATTACAGAGATTTCAAAAAAATAGAACTTATCACGTCAGTACTCTACTTTAATTTTTCATAATCATTATTATGATATATATTCCAATAAACTTAAAACTTGAATCATGCAAACAATTTTTATAGCCTTGCCATCATGAGAACTTTGCACCGTCACACACACGCAGGCCACTCATTACATAACACAAACACACACACAACACAGACACACAGACACACACACACTCACAATACACACTAAACTTTTTTTTATACAATATCAACGTCGTAACCGCATTCTTTTCATACATCCAACACAATTAGAATTTTGAATAATCAAGTGTTCAGTATTAAAATTACTTAACGGATATTTAATTTAAATTCAGTATTTAAATAGTATTTAAATACTATTTAAATACTAAATAGCGCTAGTAGTATTTAAATACTATCTACAATAACTAAAAAATATTTTAAATACTATGCAGTCTTTATTTGATGCAATTTACTAATTAATAAAAAACAATCCAGGTACTTAGTGAATAGACGATATATAAAAAAATTTAATTTTTATCATTTTATATAGACACACACACACACACAGTATGTAACAGCAAGTTTCATAAATATTTACGTTACTAATAAAACAGTCAATCACACTAAAATTCTGCAAAAATGTCTGTGAATTTTAAGTTCCGTCTCAAACAGATCATCAGATAAACGATTACGATGTTTAGTTCGAACGTGATCGACGTCATACTCTTTCACTTCATATTGTTGTGAAATAAAAAAGATGATGATGAACAATGTGTGAAAAACAACATTGGACCGGTGTTTCAAATTGCTTTTGTCATATACAAACATCTACGACCAGGACGCATTCATCTTTTGAACATGGACATGAAAAGTGCTTCACGCATTTCCATTAACTTTTGATCATCATCCAATGTCTCTAGTCGGAGTCTGTTACAGCAACAACAATTCCTACTACAGTTTGTTTTGACTTGCTGTTGCTTATGTTGTTGCTGCTACTGCGGCTGTTGATTTGATTGGATGTAAACAGGGAAAGATTTTATATGTTATATATGTAAAGTTCTGCGTCAATACACACTTTATATTAAAGAACATATATACATATGTATGTACATTTGTAGACGATGCTAAAATTAAACAAGCTACATGCTCACAAGGTTTTCTATGCAGAGTCAGGGGACCGATCCGATGGTGGAAAATAGAAAGATTTGCAAAGAAAACGCAACAATAAATTGTTTTTATAATTATGAGACCGATTCATTTGCTTCCAACAATCTACTGTTTAATTATAAGAGTGCTTCCAAACAAGGTGAAATTTATCTCGGGTTGTTAATTATCAGATCAATTGGAAACAAATCAAATGAACTATTGGACTTTTGGTGGATGGACTTGATGTTTTGGTGTTGACCGAGACATGGCATCGATGTCAAGGTGATATTTCTGTTGAATCTCCTATGCCAAGTGGTAAAGCCAAGATTATCTAAGACAAAATGATCCTCAACATGGTGAAATAATAATTTACATTAGGTCAGAATTTAAATGTAAACGATTTATTTTGCCCACACTTGCCACATTTGAAGCAATAGCAATAAAGTTAATGTACAACAAACACGAAATTTTTTTTAGAGAACTAAGATATACACTAGAGAACATGTCACCGTTTGTGTCGAATCTCGTTTTGCTGGGTGATTTTTAATGTTCGAGTTGATAGGAAAGATAATCGCCATGCTATGACTTTGCTAGAATTGTTTGAGGAGTTTCATTTGAAGAATTATGTTAATCAGCCGACTCATAATTTTTGGGGGTTATTGGATAATGATAATATGAGTTGTCTATGATAATATGAGTGTTTCGGATATAGTAGTTTATCCGAGTGAAACTTTTTCCGATCAGGCATTGGTTAAAGTTTGTTTGCCGTTTGTGTGGAAACCCTTTCTGCGGCATAACAAGATAATTAGGTCTTTGATGACAAAAAATTATCTGATAGATTAATGATTCACCTATAAGTAAAGTTTGTAATTGTAGAGTAACTGTTTGATTTTTTAAAGAGGAAATGAAAAAAATTTTTGATGAAGTTGCACCGCTACACATCGTTGTCAAGCTGGAGTACCATGTTATGACAATAAAAACTTTGAATCTATAGGAAAAAATCTACGTTCCAATGGATTGAATTATTACCTAACTGTACAGACGAGTCAGTTGAAATAAGATCCAGAAATTTTGCAGTTTATGTATGATCCATGACTTTGAAACAGCCTCCTAAGTCATATACTTGATTCGAATCTGAATTTGTTAACATTTACAAAATTGATGAAGACTTATTTATTTATATTATGATACATTTCTCATTATTTTAT